TGTTGTCTTCTATGAGGGGTTATAATATTGCCCCCTGCCACAGGAGTTATTATCTATTTTATAAATTCTGTAGGACTGGCAAGGCTTACAGTCTTCGCAATCAATCTAGCCAGGTTGATGAAGAGAAGGCAGAGTTTATAACTCGATTTCGCTGGGACTTTGTAATTTTTGTGTGATTTTTGGTGCAGCTTGTGAGATCTGCTGGAGCCCACATGGGATTAATCATATCTGAGACATTACCCGGGGTGTTTGTAAACTCTGCAGAAAACCTTGAGTAACATCTGACCCACTCCTCAGCTGGAACAAGACGCTCTACGTTTTTGATGCCCCCCCCCCAGGTTTTGCAGAGCTCCCGCTCCCAGGCTTAGCTGGGCCCTGTGCTACAGCATGTGCGCCCTGACCGGTCAGGCACAGGAAAGCCAGGGGAAACCCGGCTTCTTTCTGGAGATGTCAAGGCTTTTCAGAGACCCCACCGGCACATGCCTGCACATGGGTGTGTGGATGGGAGAGGAGACCTGGGGGCAGGGGCTGGGGACAGTGCCAGGTTGGGGTGCTCCTTCCCATCCGGGCAACCAGAACCTCCCCGGGCACCTCGCTGGGTTTGCTGGGGCATCAGCAAGGTGACTCAAATACAGAGTCGTCTCAGCATGCTGCACCTCCAAGGCAGTCCCACGGGGCACCCCTCCTGCCCTACGGTGGCATCTGCTGACCTGGGGTCTTGGTTTAGTTTCCTCCAGCGGAAACTAAACATCCAGTAACAGGAGAGCAAAACCCCACTTGGCTCCTGACTTACTTCTTCCTGCTCATTTTCCCACACGCTCGGCACATGTATGTGTGTGCATGTGTGGTTGTGACTGTGTGTGTCTATCTGACAGACTGATCAAGACTGCCAACAGTGATTTTCTAATCAAAGGGGAATAAAAAGATCCTGCCTCTTGTTCATTCAAACCAGGAAACATGCCAGGCGTTAAAGCTGTCTTAAAGGACACTTGTGCCAAGTGGCGGAATGAATCGGTACCTTGGTCTCCCCAAAGATGCTGCTGCTGCGGGGATGATGGGAGGGTGTATGTCATCCAAAAGCACCAATGCAGGCTGAAGAAACATTTGGGTTCTTTTTTTTAATAAATTAAAACCATGTTGTGTATGTTCTTGGCAAATAACTGATATTCAGAAATCATGGTCCTTTGTTTCTGTGATCCAACACCCCACTACTGCCCCCCAAATCACAGTGTGAGCTAGGCAAGCTCTGAAGGGGCTGCAGAAGCCCATGCTCAGGCCCTGCAGACAAGCCCCCACGCTGTCCTGGTGCTCCAGGGATGCTGTCTACAGCTTAGTGTTGACCTTGCTTTCACAGAGGTGGCTGAGAGGAAGCTGACGGTTGAAGAGGAGGAAGCCAAGAGGATTGCAGAGATGGGCAAACCAATACTTGGCGAGCATCCCAAACTAGAAGTCATCATTGAGGAGTCCTATGAGTTCAAGGTCAGTAGTTGTCCTAGGTGTCCTCCAGGAGGGGAAAGCTGTGTGGTGCTGAAGAGCAGCCATGGAAGGCAGAAGTGAGGAGGCTGGGGATGGACATATGTGCAGGGAAAGGGCTGCTGGAAGATGAAAAGGAGTATGCAAAGCAATAAAGTATTGGAGAAGCCTACAAGTGCCAGGGGACATAGCTGCTGGTAGGCAGAGGTAAGTGGAGGAAGACAAGGGAGCCCTGCTGGAAGCAGAAGAAGCCAACGTGCAGGAGAGAGCAGGAGCAAAATTATCTTTGGTGAGGCAAGGGCGAGGGAAGAAGGAACCTTCTCTGGAGTAAAGGGTGGCAAAGAGGCAGGCTCTGGTGAGGTTTGGGTCAGCCGGTCCGCGAAGAAGGTGGGCCCAACTCCAGTCATGGCCTCATCTGACTGGTAGGAGAGTGCTTGTGGCACCTCAGCGGTTTGGGAAGGGTCTGTGAGACCACAGCCAGATCAGCCTTGCCTGCTAGCAGCAGTTTAATTGCTGTGCATCTTTATTCCCACAACAGAGCACCGTGGACAAGCTGATTAAGAAGACAAACCTGGCTTTGGTTGTAGGGACACATTCCTGGAGGGACCAGTTCATGGAGGCCATTACCGTCAGTGCAGGTGAGGGGGACATCAGAAAACCCACAGCAGCATCCCCAGGGTTCATGCAGCCTGGGATGAGATCTGTCTGGGCTCAGGAGACAGCATCTGCCTGGTCAGTGATGCTCAGCTGTGTGTAGTGATCATCAGCAAAGCCAGTCCAAAGAGCTCTTCTGCTCCAGATATAGTGGGCTTTTGCAGATGTATTAGCTGGGAGCCCAGGAGATCTGTCTTTTGGTGTGGAGCCATCCAGGATACCAGTTTTCAAAGACTTTCCTTCTGTTGGCAGTGCTGCTGATTCAGTGGTCTGATGAGCAGCGTACAGGCAGCAAAATCCCATCCTGGCCGGGCTGCTGACTCCTGGTGTGCCCAGTGCTGTCCTGTTCAGGTAGCTCCTGCTGCTGGGAGATGTCCTGTCTGCCACGGCCAGCAGAGTCTCTGCTCTGGGAGTAGGGAGGGTTACCACATACGGACAGGAGATGTTGGCCCAGGAGGCTGCAGCTGGTGGATGGAAAGGTCCAGATTCTTGCCAGCTCTCACCCAGGGACCCTGAGAGAGCTCACCGCTTCCAGAGCCAGGCAGCCGTGGAGCAGACATTTTAGGCATGTCCATGCCATTCATGACACCTTTCCTTGATGGTTCAGCATCTTTCCTGAAAGGCTGTTTTCCACCCAGCCGTAGTGCAGGAAGCAGGCAGGCAGGCAGCTGAGCGGGAGCTGTCGCCAAGCCACAAGGCCTTCTTCTGACATGAACAAAGAGGTGCGGGGTGTTCAGCTCTCTTCTTTCTAGCAATTAAGAGAAACTGCTTCTGTGGAAACAGCGCTTCCATCCTTGCAGCAAGCAGGCCTTCTTCCCTCTTCCTCCTTCTCTCTCCATCTGCTCTGTGCTCCCTGCCTGCTTTCTCTTTTACCAATTTATTTCTATCATCCTGTGTCTGCACAAAGACCAGCAGTGCTTCCAGCCTTGGGGCTGACCTGTCCCACCAGGCTAAGGAGGGAGCCCCTCCAAGGGGCTGCAGTACTGCTGCTGATGCCCTCACACAGGGGAGGGCTTTCTCGCTGGGGCGCTGCTGGTGACCAGCCTGTGCTCTGGTGCAGGAGGACCAAGACTCCCGTTTCCCAATTCCATCACTTCCTGCTATTTCACTCCCCCAAAATACATCACTTGCCTGTGTGACTTCATGGTACCCCTCAGCAGTGATCTCCACAGGCTGACTCCATACTGTGTGACTGCCTGTGCATGAGAACAGGGACGGGGATGGGGCTGCCCCTCTGTGGGGCCTGCAGGTTCTGGGGTGTCCTGGGAGGCACCCCTCTTGCCAAGCCTCACCTATCACTGAAGGGACCTGGTGTGCCATGAGCCCACTGTCATGGCTGGCGCCACGCCACATTGTCCCAGGAGAGCAGCATCCCTGGAGCCCTGGGGTG